CATTCATCTATTCCATCACAAATTTTTGTTCCTGTTTTCAATTTCAAAATCCTCTCCATTGTCCCACACTTTTTCCGCTCTCTGTCCCATTTTCTCTCATCTCTCTATCAACCCTTCAAAACCCTACACCGCTGTTGCCGCCCCTCCCCCACCCTCGTCTTCGTTTCTCCTTCCACTTTTCAATGTTGAACTCCGATGGGTATATGGAGATTCACGAAAGTACTGCTGTGTGCGAACATGTATTATGGCTATGAGCAGTTCACGAAGCACACCGCATATCTATTGAAGACACCAAAAACGCAGATGGGTAAGGAAAATAGATCTTGTGACAGCTAGGGTTTCATATTCAAGGTGAGTGTTTGTATCCTTTGTATTTATAATTTTAAGGATTATGGAAAGTAGATTATGAGTGTGTCTTTCTTCTGCGTTTGGGAAGTATTATGGAAAAGTATGACCCACCCACTTTTATTTCAGGTTTCACCTTTGCTGAATTTGGTTGTATAAGAACAAGGAACACAGTTACTTGCTATCACTTTTCTTCGGACGGAAAGTTGCTAGCCAGTGTCGGGATGACAATAAGGTAATTTGCTTGCATAAAAAGGATATTGTGCCATATTCAAATGTTTTACACTTGCAGCTTTAATTGGTTTAAACTTTAGTTATTATGTGTTGTTTATAGTTTGCGATGCATAGCTCTAGAATCTTTGATAGAAAATTAGGCTTACGAGACATTTGATTGTAACAAATTGTTTATCGGTTTGCACGGTTTATTTCGTTCTCTTTAGCTGCTATGAAGAAGTGGTTTGGTAAGAGTTTAATGGTTTAGGAAATTGTGTGTTTATGGCAGGTTCTTGAGATTTTGAGTCATGTTAACAAGAGAGTGAAGCTTCAGTCTGATATTGGTTTGCCTTCGATAAAATTATTGTTGTCAGTTTCATTTAAATTACATTTTTTTCTGTGTGATTTTTCAGTCATCTACGGATCAAAGTACAGTAGATACCGACATACCCTACAGATTAGCTGGACTTGTCTTTGCGCTTATTCAGTTGTTGAGTATCATTATTGTCCTAATGTCCCAAGCCGCATGGCAAGTCATTCTTCTCTTTTTCGTAGTTCTTGCTATCTCTGTCTGGTATCAGGTACGAGTTATCATTTTTCTTATAATAAACACAAACTACATCATGTTTTATTTTTTTTTCTGTCAAGATTTTACAATACATGAAAAGAAAAGATGTTATGATGAAACCTCATTTATGTACTTTTTTGGCAGGCCTATTACATCACTACAGCTAGAGAATTGGCCAGGATGGTGGGAATTCGAAAGGCGCCAATCTTGCATCACTTCTCAGAATCAATTTCTTGTGCTGCCACAATCCGTTGTTTCAATCAAGAGAAAATATTCTTGACCAAGGCTATGGCTCTAATCGACGATTATTCTCGGGTAGCTTTTCACAAATATGCCACCATGGAATGGTTGTCTGTCAGAATAAATTTTCTCTTTAATTTGGTCTTCTATTTTGTTCTCATCATCTTGGTTAATCTGTCGAGATCTGCCATCAGTCCCAGTAAGTTCCTTTCTCCGGCGTTCATCCTTTTAAGCCGCTGAGAGTTTTTCAAATTTCATACATGTCTGTGAGAGTCAATTGATTAAATTGTTTCCTCTAATTTTCAGGCATGGCGGGTCTTGTAGCGACTTACGGTTTGAACTTAAATGTGCTTCAAGCTTGGGTGACATGGAACCTATGCAATGTTGAGAACAAAATGATATCCGTAGAGAGAATATTACAATTCTCTGATATACCAAGTGAAGCGCCGTTAATTATTCAAGATAATAGGCCCGAACCAGAGTGGCCTAAGGAAGGAAAAATTGAATTCTATAACCTTCATATACAATATGAACCTGCTGCTCCTATGGTTCTCAAAGGCGTCACTTGCGTCTTCCCCGGACAGAAGAAAATCGGAATAGTTGGCAGGACGGGAAGTGGAAAATCTACTCTGGTGCAACTGGTTTGGTTTTCCAGATTGAGCCTCAGACAACAATTTGCTTGGTGTCTTTGGCCTTTCTTGCCTTCGTGATGCTCCTCGTGGTCAGCCTTTAAAGGTATGCTTTGCCATTGATGAAAATGGTATCTTAACTGTTTCTGCTAAAGAAATATCTACAGGCAATATGAACGAGATTATTGTAACCAATGATAAAAGAAGGTTGTCAGCATTTGAAATTAGTAAAATGATTGAAGAAGCTGAGAGATACCATGTGGAAGATAAGATTCGGAGTCTGATTCTATCCTTACAGTGGTGTGCTGCCTTATAATTCTTGACAATGTACTCTTTCCCTGCTTTTTGTTGATTATGTGATCGTTGGTGATGTTTTAGTTTTGGAGATTACCTACTCTAATCTTACTCAATGACGCCCCAAAAAAATTGTCCAATCCAACTAGAATTATTGATATTGAATTAATATTAGTTATTCCCAAACAATTATTTTTATTTAAAAGACAATCTTTATTTTCAAATGCCAATTTTTTTCTTTTTCAATCTCATAAGTTTCCTTTTTATTGTTATTTAATTTAAGTGAGTATATATAAATTATTCATTTTTAATTAAACAAATCATTTCAAATTTATAAAAATATTTAATTATATTTTATAAGATATAAAATAAATTTACCCGTGCGAACGTACGGGTATACTACTAGTTTATTAAAAATAATTTATTTGCACACTAAAAATATCCTCACTTTTTCTACAATAATATATTGTATTTAATTAGTATCATTAACATATAGAACAATTTACAAACTCATATATATATATATATATATATATATATATATATATATATATATATATATATATATATATATATATATATATATATATATATATATATATATATATATATATATATATATATATATATATTCTTATTAAATAAAGATTCATCTTATCATTTTTCTTTTATTTAAATAAATATTCTTATTAAATAAAAAATCAGTGATGTTTGGTTCATCCATATTAATAATGATTATGATGCGAGAATGTCGTACTTTTCTTTCTTAGAATTCCCTTAAATCTTCTTTTCTTTCCTTTTTTTGGTACTACTGAATTCATTCTATTAATGAATACATAAATGTGATATACTAATATATTATTATTGGTTTGGTTCGAGTTTATGGGTAGAAAACTGAAAATCCATTGTCTGAACCAATTAACACCGATTCTGATTGGTTTGGTTCAGTTTTCCAAATTAAAAAAATGTCCGACCCAAACACATTGGTTTGGTTTGAATTTTGGATTGGTTTAGATTTTTCTGAACCAATGAACACCCCTAATATATAGGAAGATCCTATGCTGTTTGTCACGAAAAATGGATCAGATCTGTGGTGGATGAAATGGTGGTCGAAGTGAAGAAACCTCTGATGTTGCAAATCGACAATAAGTCAACCATGAATCTTGCAAAGAATCCAATTCTGAATGGAAGGAGTAAGCACATTGAAGGTAGATTTCACTTTCTAAGAAAGAAGATAAATCAATGTGAACTTAAAATGAGGTATTGCTCGAGTGAAGCACAGTTGACAACATTTTCACCAAAGGATTAAAGATTAACAAATTTCTAACTTTGAGAAATAAATTAATATTTAGCATCTTGAATCATAAAGGAGTATGTTGTGACATAATCCAAGTTAGTTAGTTACTTGATTTGCCAACTAATTAGTTTTTTTTATGATTAATTACTTAAGTCACATGTAACCTATATATATATATATATATATATATATATATATATATATATATATATATATATATATATATATATATATATATATATATATATATATATATATATATATATATATATATATATATATATATATATATATATATATATATATATATATATATATATATATATATATATATATATATATATATATATAGTATATCAAATGAGAGTGATTTTAAATGAGAAATGAGAGTAACAAACAACAATCATTAGATCAAATTAATAAGAGAGATGAAATTTAAGTTAATAAAAAAAAGAAATTAATAGTCACATTAATAAATAAGTTTAGTTATGATCTAATGATTGTTGTTTGTTTCTCTCATCTCTCATTTTAAAATTCCTCTCACTTGATATGCCCTCTATATATATATATATATATATATATATATATATATATATATATATATATATATATATATATATATATATATATATATATATATATATATATATATATATATATATATATATATATATATATATATATATATATATATATATATATATATATATATATATATATATATATATCAAATGAGAGTGATTTTAAATGAGAAATGAGAGTAACAAACAACAATCATTAGATCAAATTAATAAGAGAAATGAAATTTAAGTTAATAAAAAAGAGAAATTAATAGTCACATTAATAAATAAGTTTAGTTATGATCTAATGATTGTTGTTTGTTTCTCTCATCTCTCATTTTAAAATTCCTCTCACTTGATATGCCCTATATATATATATATATATATATATATATATATATATATATATATATATATATATATATTAAAAATTTTCAATACTATTTATTTTTCTCTCTCTTCTTTCTCATTCCTTTTTCACCCAAGTGTCAACAATGATAAGTGTTTTTAAAAGTGTCAACAAAAATAAAACATATAAAATAATATTATAAATTAATATCTATTTTTATTTTAAATTTATAAATAAATACTAGTACATGTACAAAAAATTGAAAAAAAAACCTAAAACATATTAATATAATGTTTTTTTTTTTTGACAAACCGAACATATCATAATGTTTTCTTTATAAAAAAAAAAAAGAAAGAGTATTCCTGAAACAAAACAAAACAAAAAGTAAAAGTTGTTCGAAACAAAGAATAAACCTTAACCAAATCGTAAGTTAAAGCCGTTGGAGAGAGACGATTATGTTTCTGTCACTGAATATTTGCGATTGTTGAATTGAAAAAACAAAGCGATGTGGTTAAAGACATTAGCAACCTCTCCTATTTCCGGAATCGCTCTCTTCGTCCTCTTCATCGCTCTCTTTCTCAGATTTTCCATCAACTTTCCCACTTCACACTCACAGGTAACTACGATTTTTTTTTTTTTTTTGAATTTTAAATTACAGTTATAGGTTAAGTAAGTCAATGATTTTGACTTTACATTTTGTGTTTAGAGATTGTTCAGTACAGAAGAACTTTCATTGTTCAATGGAACTGATCAAGCGTTACCAATCCTTTTAGGAATTCTTGGGTATTTCTCTCTTTCTCTGTTTCTAATTTGCAAATTGGCATAGTTACAGTTACAAACTCTAATATGCGTTTATATATCTTTCATTATAGATCTGTTTTTGATGTAACCAAGGGAAAATCACATTATGGTTCAGGAGGAGGATACAATCACTTTGCTGGAAGGCATGTTCTTATATGCTTTCATGTTTTTCTTCTCTTTAGATTCCTATCACATATCACAATTTCAACTCATGTTTTTTTCTATCATGTTTTAGGGATGCTTCTCGCGCATTTGTCTCTGGAAATTTTACAGGTGAATTACTTTTTTATTTATCTGGTTTTGATTTTGCAATTTCACAAAGGTCCTGTCCAGTCTCTAGTGTAGACCCTCTTTTGAAATGTTATGTTGTTGAACCATTGTATTACTGAATCTTTGCCTGCTATTTCTCCTCCTACAAACACTTTATTCCTTGAACAATTCTTAATATACTTTTTTACTGATCATGTAGGAGATGGCCTCACAGACTCATTGCGCAATCTATCTAGTACTGAGGTGACGTTGTAATTGTTGTTTGCTCATTTTTGAAACATTGACTTACTCGCATGATGCTTCACCATACATCAAGATTTCTGATGAAAATCATTTCATTACAAGTATTTGTTGTTTTTCCATTTTTGTTTCCTTGAAATTAATCTGAAACATAGATGTAAACCTTACACCCAATTAAACTGCGTGCAGGTCAAGAGTGTTGTTGACTGGAGAGATTTCTACTTAAGATCTTACACGTGAGTCATATTTCCTTCAATTTGTTACTCCGTTTTAACTATTAAGTATCTGATGAAAGTTATGCTTGCTTTGGAAGGATAGAATAATAGTGTACCTAGAATGTTACATTAATCATGATGGTTTTCGCAAGGATAGGATGCTAAATCATTACACACGTGTCTGTTCCACATCTGCTTTTACAGTGTTATGTCTCTATCTGTTTAATTTTTGGCACCCCGGAAAGTGTTGCCGCTGTCATTAGTTGTCTGTCAGTCCGATAGGATAGTCTGAAATATGGACTCTTATGGTGTGTGAACTTTTGGTCATTTTATTCTTTTGTATAATTGAATTGATGTTTTTTTATTAGCTGATTAGAGTTTGCGGAAATGAAGATTAACTAGATTGTAGTGATTAGCTATGAAATGTATTTTAAATTTGATAATTTGATCATGGATTGAATTAGCTTACTGGAATATTTATCTTTATTTATATAGGTACGTTGGTAAGTTAGTTGGTAGATATTACGATAGCCAAGGGAATGCTACAAAGTATTTAAAAGGCGTTGAAGCAAAAGCTGCGAGAGGTGCTCAGCTTCTAGAAAAACAGAAGATCGAAGAGGCTAAACAACCTTCATGCAGTTCAAGTTGGAGTCAAGACGAGGGTGGTCAGGTATATTTTATAATTAGCAGTTCAACCTACGTGCATAAATGCAAGTTTTGACACAGGTTTGCATGTCTTTGGTCAGGTATGGTGTGATGTTGGCTACCCGAGGTTGATTCAGCGACCGATAGAAATGGCTTTGACCGGGAAGATAAGTAAGCGCTGCGCTTGCTTTGAAGAGTCTCAATTAGGCCAATCTGGTTTAGAAGTATATGAGGGATGTGACTATCATGCCAACAGGTGCAAAGCTTAGTCAGAAATGTAACACCAATAGGAGAATACTTTTTGTCGGGTGTAATGAATATGTATTTTAAAGCTTAATTTAATGAAGCATATACTTGCACGAAGTCATTTACTTTCGTAGTGACAAATATGTCTGCATCGATTTTGGGGTTATCAAATATCAACTCAGATCTTAAATTGTGAAACCGAATTTTGAAATGCCAATAGCAAATATTATTTATTTCAAAAGTACATTCAATCTCCTAAGCCATATGGAATGAATAATCATATGGAATACATCGTATCGCTTCGGAGGATTATTCACTACAAAATGTCTTTGCACTTTCTTAACACCTTCATACAATCTCCTATATTTCTCATCAGATATACCCAACAGAATCTCCTTAAGCTTAGGAATTTCACTAACTTCAATCTGAACAGAGAAAGAATCCCAATTAAGAACATCACTAAACGGAAGAACATATTGTTGTGATATTATAATAGGCACACATTCTGCATAAATTGCCTCAACAATTCTTGGACTAGCCACTTCATAACCACTTGGACAGATACAATATTTACTCTTCTTCATTGTTTCATGATAGGAAACATTCTCAGGAAGTTTTTGATAAACCAAAACATCTTTGTCTTTGTTCTCCCAATGTTGGAAAATCATTGGTCTGATTTTACCATGCATTCCTCCTGCGAAGAAGGCCAAAACCGTTCTGTTCCACGACGGATAGCCGCCAAGTAAACCTTTTGTTTCTCCTAATAAGTTGATTTCAGGAAACGACGCATCTTTCTTCGGATTGAAATGCTCCGAGATATTCGCATTGCATAGTACTCGTATTGCAATGAAATATAACTCCTTAACATACCATGTCGCCCTTGGTCCCTGCGCACAACAATCTAAACATCAGTCTAACAACACGATGCGCGCTAAAAACATGATTGTGTGTAATTGACAACAAACGCGGAATTACCCAATCATGACAAGAAAGCATGAAGTGATCAGCTCCATAACTTCTATTCCAATACGCATATTTATGCGATATGATATCGACATAATCACCAATAGTTCTTCCCAAAACAGCTTTATCGCGAATAACCGGGTGAAACAGATGCTGAATGATCATAGTAACACTAAACGGTAGAAAATAAACATGAGCTTCATTTGGATTCTGAGTTTTAAACATAGTATTAGTTTCCAATAAGTTGATAAATATTCCTTCCATTGAATATATATTCTTGCAAGGACCATAATGAAAAAGAGGAGGCTCTCCTTCTTCATACACATAGATTCTAAATAGCTTCTCCATTAAACGGTAACTCCTATAACAATTCAAAACAATGAAACTTTAAAGTTTGACAAAAATTAAAGTTAAAATCTTTGATATTGTTGATAAAAGGGCCGTCTTTAAAGGTGTGCAAGACAGACTACTGCACATGACTTAAAATTTATCACGATTAAATTGCGATTAATTTACACATAACTTCCAAAATTTTAAAACGGCTCTTTTGATAAAATCATACCTATGAAAAGCAAAAGCATTTATGTAAATGTTCCCTTGTGGAACATAATCATGAGAATCCTCAATAGGCACAATATCATTGGTTCTCAACAATGCTTGTTTTATCAAAGCTCTTGCTTTTGCAAGACTTGCTTCAACTTTCTCCAAATTTCCATCTCCTTGTATTGATATTCTTGTAGACAATTTGTGCAATTCTCTATCATAGGACATTGTCTTGTGTCTTCCCTCATCCTACATGGTACAAAACAAAAACATCAATCCAACCTTAAACTATAGGTGCACAAAACCAAAAATGATTGATTCATGTTATATTTTACCTTGTATGATGAAATGTTAGATCCTAAATGTTTCTTTTGAAGCCTTTGATAATTCAATCTTGAATCCCATTTAAAACCCTTTAATGAATCAATGCTAAATAGCACCAAAAAGATAGAAAATGCAACTAGACTCAAGTTTCTTTTGTTGAAATGCCACATTTTCTCAGAACTCAATGTGGACTCATTGCCATCTCTCTCGTCTCTTTCTTTGACGAAGTCTTTTTTGTGGAAAGATAATGTGTAATGTAGATTCTCTTCTAATTTTTTCCATGTGGCTAGAGCATAATATAGTCTAATAAAGTGTATATTAAAGCCATTTATTTACAAGAAAACAAAGGATAAATTAAATTTCATTTTGACTTGTAACCAAAAAAAACTTTTGATTCTGATATCACCGTGTAAATTTTGGGACCATCTGAGACACTAAATAAAGTTTGGTGAATTGAGATTAGGAAAGTTTGCATGATTAATCTTAGTTCATTATCTACCATTGTAATATTTAAATATGCCACCACCCGTAGAAAAAGGATTAGAGATAAAAGCTCTATCCACGTTGCATTTTATCCAAGCAAATAATGGGGATACCATATCACCTCTTTGGTTATTGGAGTTCTGGGAGAATGAATACTAACATTTAAAGTTTTAATGATGAGAAAGTTAACCACATCAGATCTAATTATTAAAGCGGATATGTTACAACTCATCTTAAACTGAGCCATAATGTGGGATGTGATATCATTAAAAGAAATATATTGAATTGTACTTGTTAAAAAGTACGTATGTGTGTGGTATCGTTAAACAGATATGTGATACTCAAAGGTCTTAGTAAGTTTATAATAGTTAGGACTTGTTTGTGGCGGCGAAAGGTCTTCTATGGTGGTGTTTACGACATTTATAGTGGTATGAGAGATCAACTCACGTAAGATGAGAGGCTATGTGATATGAGTGATGTTGGTTAATTTATGATTCGTCTTCTACCCTCAAGGAGTCCGATATTGATAGAGACTTTTGGGCCTAAGATTTAGGAAATTCTAAGAAGTGGTAACCACTTCCTATTAACCGGGAGAGACTATTGACTATCTATTTTTCAAAAAGTCGTGGCACGACTTAGTTTGCATGACTCGTGGAATGATAATAGTATCATATATGTGCCTTATTCTGAGGGTGATCCTTCATTCTACACAAAGGCAGCGCCCAGGCGACACCTCACGAGGCGGGGACCCTTGTGTTGCCACTATTTGGGACTCTTGCAACTCTTGCAAGTATAACACTACACAGCCCTTCAAGCACGAAAACTTTGTAAAGGGTGAAGTATTTTAAGGCTTCATTGTTTGGGGCATGGCTCTTTTGAATGGGAGGTGAGTCCCTCAATTTATGGACGAATCTCTCAGTTTAAAATGACCTTTTAAATGGGAGGCGAGTCCCTCAACTTAGGGCAAGTTCCTCAGCTGAATACGACCTTTTAAATGGAAGTCGTGCCCCTCAACTTAGGGCGAGTGCCTAAGCTGAACGTGGCATTTTAAATGGAAGACGAGTCCCTCAATTTGGGGCGAGTCCATCAGTTGAAGACCACCTTTCAAACGACATGTGAGCATTGCAAAACCGCTGCAATACTGAAATGCGACAGTTTCCCAACAATCGTAAAACTTGGTGTCGTAAGCATTGTTTGAGATGGTTTCAAAAATCGTTGTGCAATCTGTCATTTGTTGATTTACGACAATTGTAAGTGTCGTTAAATATGATGTAAATTTTTGAATAAATCTATACTTAACAACGGTTTTTTAAATCAAATTATAGAGCTCTGTAACCCCCACTAAATAAATTATTTCTTTAAAAAAAATAATGTTACTTTTGTTAGTGCGTGAGACACTTTTAGTGAGGAGAGAAAGAGAGATAATAAGGAAATAAGGATTGATATTATTGAATGAATGATAATAACAAAATTACAAAGTGTTCTATTTATATATACCTAAGTGACTTGACTACTAAGCAATAAATATAACAAACTAAGTAATAAATCCTAAACACTAATTAACTTTAAGTTTGAGCCACATAATTCAACTTGGATTATGTCTAATATCTCAACATACGCTCCTATAATCCAAGTTGTCAAAACACACTAATCATTGTCGATCTAAACTATTCCCAGTTTCTTTCTCAAAGTTAGGAACCTATCAATCTTCAATCCTTTGGTAAAAATGTCGGCTAATTGTGCTTCACTTGAGCAATGCCTTACTTCAAGTTCACCTTTATTCATCTTCTCCCTTAAGAAGTGAAATCTAGCTTCGATGTGCTTACTTCTTCCATGTAAAACTGGATTCTTCGCCATATTTATGGCTGGCTTGTTGTCAATCTGCAGGACCAGAGGTTTCTTCACTTCGACCTCGATCTCTTCCAACACGGATCTGATCCAAATTGCTTGACACACAACATATGATCCTGATATACATTCAGCCTCACATGATGACAATTCCACCATAGGTTGCTTTCTCAAGCACCATGAGATTGGGGTACCAAATACTTAAAAGAAATATCTAGTAATGCTTCTTCGGTCTTCCTTATCTCCACATCAATCAGCATCTGAATAACAAGTAACCATAGCTTTTTTGCTTTCAAAGTCTCGTCAAAATAAAATTCCATAGTTTATCGATCCTTTTAAGTATTTCAGGGTTTTTCTTGCAGCCTTTATGTGTGACACCTTTGGTTCACTCATATATCCACTCACTAATCTGACTGAGAAACATATATTAGGTCGACTGTTGCACACATATCTCAGAGATCCGACAATTTGTTTGAACAAAGTCGCATCGACTTTGTCTTCCTCTCCATGCTTTTCCAACTTCAAATTTGGTTTGATAAGCGAAGATGCAGGAGTCGAATCATCCATTTTAAATCCCTTGAGTATCTCTTTGACATACTTTCCTTGATATAGCACCATACCTTGCTTCGGCATTTGAAAGTCCATGCCTAGGAAGTACGACATTTTTCCCAGATCCGACATTTCAAATTCCTTTATCATTAGCTATTTGAACTTCGACAAGTTCTCCAAGCTACTTCCAGTTACTGACAAGTCATCGATATATAAGATGATTGTTATATCTTGTGCCACAACTTGAACATAGACACCATACTCAGATTTGCATTTGTTGAATCCCAATTCGACCAAGTATGAGTCGATCTTTTTGTTCCATGCCCTATGTGCCTGCTTGAGACGAATAAAGCGCTTTGTGCAACTTATATACTTTCCTTGCTTCCTCATGAATCAAAAACCCATTAGGTTGTGTGACATAGACCTCTTCATCTAAAGGTCCATTCAAAAATATCAATTTCACATCTAAGTGAAATGTCGACCAACCTTGATTGCATGCCAAGACTACCAGTAGTCGAACAATATCCAATCTTGTGACCGATGCAAATACTTCATAGTAGTTGAGTCCTTCTCTCTGAAGAAATCCTTGAGCTACCAATCTCGCCTTATGTCTTGCTATCGACCTATCAACATTGTGCTTCAACTTGAACACCCACTTCACTTAGATATCTTTTGTATGTGCTGGAAATTCGACCAATTCCCATGTGTTATTTCTTTCGACTGCTTGTAACTCTTCGACCATAGCAAACTTCCATTGTTTGTCTTTGAAGGCTTTGATATAGTTGTTTGGTTCAACACATGCAAGTAAAGAAAAATGAACTAGTTCTCCATCTGTTGTAACTTCATCATCACCAACCACTTCATAGTCTTGAAGTCTTGCTGAACAATCTCTAGTTCTTTGAGGCCGTTGGCTTGTTCCAGCCATATCTTCTTCGAATTCAACTAGTTCGTGCATGTTAGCAATAGCTTCGATTTCAACTGGAATATCAACATTATTACTTGCTTCTTCAAAATCATAACTCATCAATGGCTTGTTAACTGCATTATAGAATTCCAATTCCAAGCAAAATTTTCATCAATCACAATATAGCAACTCATCACAATATTCTGATTAATTGGATTAAACAACCTATATGCTCCAATCTTATGATATCCAACCAGAATCATAGGTTCACTATTATCATTAAGCTTCCTTAACCTAGAATCAGGAATATGCTTATAGAAAATAGAGCTAAACAGCTTCAGATGACTCACTGGTGGTCATTTTCCACTCCATACTTCTTCAGAAACCTTATTCTTCATCTTCTTAGCAGGGCACCTGTTCAAAATATAAACAGCAGTCAAAACAACTTCACCCCATAAGGACTTTGGCAAATTCTTTTGCTTCAGCATGCATCTCGCCATGTCCACTATGGTCATGTTTCTTCTTTATGCTATTCCATTATGTTGAGAAGTATAAGAAGCATTTACTTCATAATCAACACCATGTTCTGCACATAATGCTTCAAATATCTTAGATGTGTATTCGCCACCTCCACCTGTTCGCAGAACTTTGATCTTTTTTCACCCTGGTTTTTGACAAGTATCTTGAATCTCTTAAAGATTTCAAACACTTTTTCCTTTCATTTGATCACATAGATCCAGAGCTTTCGATTGTACTCATCAACAAATGAGATGAAATACGTGTTTCCACCAATATTATGCTCTTCAAAAGGACCACATATGTTTGAATGTACAACTTCGAGTATGCAAGATGATCTCATTGGCATAGTTGAAACAAAAGCCTTCCTGGACTGCTTTCCGACTAGACAACCTTCACAAAGTTTGTCAGGCATCTCAAGACTTGGTATACCAGTTACCATATCTTAAGTGATCAATTGATTGAGAAACCTAAAGTTTAGATGACCAAACCTCAGATGCCACAAACAACTACTCTTTTGGTCGACAACTGTTTTTAGACATTGTACCTCAGCCGAACCGATCATGGTCTTAAATATTCTATTCTTCGACAGAGGAGATTTCAAGACCAAGTTATTCTGGATGTCAAAAAGTTCTAAAGCTCCATCTTTCATAACCACTGAGAGCCCTTTTTCGACCAATTGCCCAACACTTAGTAAATTGCACTTCTTTTCAGGGACATAGAGTACATATTTAATCAAGGCTTTTCCTCCATTACTCCTTTGAAAAACCATGTTGCTAATACCTTATGCTTGTAACGAGCTATTCTTTTACAAGTTTAACCTTGCTCTTCTTCAACTCCTCGAAATCTACTAACAACACTTTTTGACCGGTCATATGATTCGAGCAGCCTGAGTCGAAGAAACAGATCTTGGATTCAACATGGTCAACTGCAACTGTAGCCATAACCACCATATCATCAGAATTCAATCAAAGAATAAAAGTGAAAGCATGGTTGAATTTGCCATTGGGAATCACTGAATGTTTGCGGGTATTTGATCTTCCAATTTGTAGAGTTTTCTTATGGCTCCTTGAATATCCTCTAATAGGGATGAAGAGAGAATTTTTCTAATGAGCCGTTTTTACATTGTCTTCAAATGGGGACCATAACCCCTATAAATAACCTTAGGATAATTTTTTAGTTTTAAATATTCTAATTTAACCATTCATTAAATTAGATATTGATTTATGGTACCTACACAATAATATCATATTTCATGACATTTATACTTTTAGCCACTTACTTAATATTAACTAGACCACTGTAGTTTTGGCTAATTAAATAACAACCCTAACACATGAAAAATTATACTTGTGACCCAAAAATTCTAACACATAGTCGACATGTTAGGAGGCACCAATGTCAAACCAACATCCATTATATCCACCTACAAGGTCGATCTTAGTAATCATAACAATGCATGGATCTTATGTAGCTATGTCATCCTATGATGCTATAGTTGGATTGCTTCCATACTTGTATGTCATATGACCCAGTTTCCCACGATTGTAGCAGGAGAGTTATGGCCCAATATCATTTATCTACCTTTGTTACTTTTTCATCAATGTGAATGCGAGTGATCAGACTTTCAAGAGAGAAATCCTTAAGTTTATGCTTAAGAAAGTTCTTGAAGTTCTTCTAAGTATGAGGTAGTTATCTATGATAACAGCCTCAGTTAAAGACATACCTTCAATGATAATCTCATGAGCAATTTCCATATCTCATAGGATTGCATCTGCTATCAGTCATTTAGTATTTGAGGTAACGACTCATAACATACTTTGTAGTGTTCGCTTCCTTAATGTCGTACTTTTTTTTTTTCAGAGCTTGCCAAACTTCCTTTACATACTTACAAACTTTATAACAATCATACAAATCATCAGTTTTTTATAGAGATGGTATTGATTTCATTGTATATAATTATTTCTTTAACTTTTTTATCATTCTCCTGCTATTCATTTGTCTAAAAAAACTACATACATATCATCTCTCAAAACATTGCCAACCTTTTCATCGTTAATAAAAAATCATCTTTTATTGTCATTTTATGAAGTGGTTTACTTCATACTGAAACAGTCTATTATAGTGTAAAAAAAATGAAGTAAACCACTTTTAAAATATCGATCAATTACTAGGTTCAACAGTCCGTTGGGTAAATTTACCTAGAGTTTCACGTCAATCAATTACTTATTTTATAATGGAGTCACATCGTTTACAATATTCTTTCGAATTTCTAAACTTAGTTATTTTTATTTTGAAAGAATTGTTGATTTCCTTAACAAGGATTACTTAAGACCTAAGGTAGACTCTCTTAGTTGGAATTTTCTTCCTCTAAATAGTTGTACTTAAACATTACTTCCATTCAATGATGAGGTCGAGATTAATAAGTAATATTATTTCTTATGTTAAGGAAATTTTTATTGATTGGTGGGCGGGTCACGTAGATAAATTATGTGCTTACGAATCTACCAGAACATTACCTTGCATTCTATAAGGCTCTAATTAAGGTGATTAATCAACTAGTTTCCATTCAAAGAAGATTCTTTTGGGCCAGAAATGCTGAAACGCTCTTGTTGGCTTGGGTACGGTGGTCAATCGTTTGCAAACCGATTAAGCAGGGGGAATCGAAATCAAAAGTTTACTTAGGTTTAATATTGCATTGATGATGAAGTGGCTGTGGAGAATTATACGTGAACCTGATGCAATATGGCAGACATTGCTGCAGTATAAGTATGAGAATGTTGTCAATAGAATTCTAGTTAAATATGATGTGTCGCCGGTAATGTTGATGTCAAACTGGTGAAAAGACATCTTAATGTTTAGTGATTCCGCTGAGTCGGGGGGCTTCTTGGGGTTGCTGTCATGTAAGTTGGGAAATGGTTCTCTTATTTCATTTTGGCATGCCAGGTGATTAAATGTGTCGTCGTTAAAAGTATGTTTCTCGGTGTTGTATAACAATTATGCTTGTAAAGACATTGTTGTTTGTGATTGTGGACAGTGGATTGAGGGAATTTGGCAATGGAGTTTGGACTGCTGTGTAGACATTATGGTAGATGAGGAACGTCTTGAATTTTGTGAGCTAATGAGTGTCTTAGATGGGGCATGTCCTAGACCTGAAATTCTGGATGGTTTTGTTTGGCTTGATGCTAATCAAGATCAATTTTCGGTTAAAACATGTTATGCCGGAATTGTTAGTGGTCGTGGTTCTAGTGTGTTGGATATTACTCTCAAGGCAGCACTTGATCTAATGTGGTAAAAACATTCCATTGAAGGCGAAGATCTTTGGATGGAGATTGCATTTGGATAAACTTCTTACATGTTCGAATCTGGCGGTCAGGAAAATAATATTGAATCCACACGAATTGGTATGTGCATTTTGTTTTAACTTTGTGAAATCTTCTCATCATCTTTTTATTTCTTGTTCGCAAGTGTGTTTGGTGTGGGAGGAGGTATTTGAATGGGTTGGTGTAGACTGGTGTGTGGCAAGCAATTGTTGTGACCATCTTCTAGAATGGTTTGTGATGTTGGTGGGAAGGACGTCCAGAAAACTGTTGCAGCAGTGATCTGATTTTGCACGTGTTGGTGCTTATGGTGGGTAAGTAATCAAATTATGTTTAATGATGCGGTTAGGAAACATAATAAAATTCTCAGAGAATTGTTCAATATTGTTAGTTGTGGCTTGGTGTGTCATCTAATAGTAGATATTTATGTAATTATTATAAGTGCTTTAAAAATCTCACTGATTTTTTTTTTTAGACTTTCGTCTTTGTTTTGACTGATGAATAGTAGTTAAGATCATTTATGTATGTATTAAGACGCTTTGCTTTGGAATACACTTAATATTCCTCTTAAATATGTTTGCTTAAAATAAAATAAAAAACATAATAACTAGAGATAATAACTTTTTTGGTAGACATGACAAAAGACAACATTTTAAACCCCGTAAGAAATTATAGTATAATTTTAGGAAAGTGGAATAAACCAATAAAATACAAAAACTAATATCAATTTTAAAAAATAGCTTTAAGTATGAGATTTTTCTTAAGTCTATATTTTTATACAATATTTAATTTCGAGATTTTTTTTAATAGTATTTTTTAGAAATTTATATTTTCATATAATAATATAAATTATTTTTTAAAATGCCAACACAAATATTTAAATGGTGTGATTGCCTATTTATGAAAATCATTTTATATTGGACAAACACATCAAATAAATATTATTTAAAAATTATAAGTTAAAAATTTCAGTAAGTGTACTCTCTCTCTTGAAAAAAGCATCTTGTATGCTTAAATATCTCCCTAAGTATCTCAGCAGTCTTAAAAGTGAAGGACAAAAAAGTTAGCATAAAAAAAAAGCATACATAGTACCCAAAAACTGATCGCCATACCTAATATATAATTGTCTTAAGTGGTTGAAAATTTAATACTTTGTGTTTTACTCTTGGAATCTTTGGTCCCAATCGTACATTATCTCATAAAACACCTCAAATGAAATACACAAAGAGTAAAAAGAAAGCATGATGATCTGAATTGAACCACGTGAAAGAAATGGAAACACAAAAAAGACATAATGCATTAAGTGTGGTTCACAAAGAAAAGCAAAATTTCCAATTTAAGAAATTTCCACTTTGTAAAAAGCAAGCAAATTTAGATGCAAAGAAATACAAGGCACGTGAAAATAAAATACGCATTGAGTTTGAGTTACAGTGTGTGTGGTGTTAACTGATTTTCAATACACAAAGGTACGTAACTAATTAATGAGAGTGCTACAATGCTATACAAATGTTTTTCTCATGTGTAACTCATTTCCCATGTGCTGTTATATACTCACTCAATTCATCTTCCTCCAACACCTATATATATCACTTTTGAAATCTATGTCTCATGCATTAATATTACTCAACTCATGCATGTGTCCATCTAAATTTGTCAATATAAGTAGTTACGTTGGAATCGCTATGAAGAGGAATTGCTATTTAGATTTATTATCTCAGAAATCAATGTAAGTGACGTACGAGTTTTTTTCTTCTTCGTCTTCTTTGTTTATCATTTGTCATTTTTTTCTATTCGAAATTTTGTAGGAACGAGAAATCGAAAGTAAATAAAAAACTTGTTGCCATTTCTCCGGAAGAATTTCAGGTAATATTTGTCTGTAAATTCAATCATTGATAATTTTTTTAAAAATAACTATTTTTCTTTTAATATTTTGCATGCAATAATTATATATCACAAAAAAAAAAACTAGGGTTAATGTATTATTGGATGAAATTATTTGCAGGTTAGAGTGATAATATGGTTGGCAAATCAAGAAATGGAAGGAAGGAGTGGTAGGAAAAAATTGCCTCCAACACTATCGCTTTCATTGCGACCTCAAGTGTTATTAATGCATGCTTCACATGGCTTTTCTATAAAGCGATCTCTTGAAAATTTTCTTCACAAGAGAAAGAAAAAGATTCAAAGTCACGTCTCTGTTGTAACGTCTCATGATAGTAATAGTACAAATTAGTGAAGCCTATAAGTGTGTATTTTTAATTAATATAGGCATGAGTAGCTTGTGACAAGTAAGGCGCGTTTTTAATATTTATGAATGAAGAATATTGATGCTTTCAGTCTACTACTAGAATCTAGAGAAGTGGTTTACACAAGCAAAATGTGGATCTGTCGCATTCGATATATTTATATATCTTTGAAAAAGTAGGGGGATAATAGGTATAAAATTGGCACGATCGTTAAGAGCAAAGACAGGATTTTTTACCCCAGTGCCCCTTTTTGAAAAAAAAAATCCCAAAATACCCCATTTTGAAAATTATTTACCAATATACCCCCTTTCTTGTATGGGCTCGTCCATTCATTGGACCAACTACCTAAGCCCACTACATGCTCGCCCATTGGAAGGACGAGCTAGTGGAGATTATTTAGCAAGCATGAGCTCGTCCATTGGAAGGACGAGCGTGTGTTAGTTTTGATTTTTTTTTTTCTTCTGAATTATATTTATGTATTATTGGATTTATTTATTTAAACATTTAATATTTATTTATTATAAGTAATAATAAAATAATAAAATTACTAATTTTAATTTTTATAAATAATAAAATTTTAATAAATAAATAAATAAAAAATAAACATTAGTAATTTTATTATTTACAATTCATAAATAAATAAATAAAAAATGTATTAAAAAATAAATATACATAAAATTAAGAATTAAAAAAAATAAAATTTTATTATTTATTAAATTTTATATTATTATTTTATTATTACTTATAATAAATAAATATTAAATGTTTAAATAAATAAATCCAATAATACATAAATATAATTCAGAAGAAAAAAAAAATCAAAACTAACACATGCTCGTCCTTCCAATGGACGAGCTCATGCTTGCTAAATAATCTCCACTAGCTCGTCCTTCCAATGGGCGAGCATGTAGTGGGCTTAGGGTGTTGGTCCAATGAATGGACGAGCCCATACAAGAAAGGGGGCATATTGGTAAATAATTTTCAAAAGGGGGTATTTTGGGATTTTTTTTTTCAAAAGGTGGCACTGGCGTAAAAAATCCGCAAAGACATGCAACGTGGGTGAATATTTGTTCCAGCTTCCATAGACCCATGCTCCGACATCATCTAGCACTACATCTTTGTTCGTAAACACCTGAAACAACTCCGGAAAGAAAAACTTCAATGCCATACAACTTAACCACCTATAATTCCAAATCTGAATTTTGTTTCCTATAAGAGATTAGAAGTGAATGGAATATATATTGTTTTATTCTTATTTTCTGTTAGTATAAATACAAAGGTTGAAAAACCTAATTATGGACTGAATCAAGATAATCAAATCTCCTCTTAATTCTCCTCTAACCATACGCTGATCTTTAGCCTAAAGAATATGGATTTACAATTCTAAATAATTACAGGAATTAAGATTAATTATTAGTATTGATATCCTCCCACAAGTTGTATAATCTGGAAGAGATATGCAACTTGGACAGTAACGACTCAAACCGAGGGCGAAGTAGAGACTTTGTTAAAATATCGGCAAGCTGATCATCTGTAGACACAAAAGACACCCGAAATTTGCCATTTTGAACATTTTCTCGGGCAAAATGGTAGGCTAGGGCTATATGTTTCATCCGAGAGTGGAAGACAAGATTAGCACTTAGATTTATGGCTCCGAGATTGTCACAATAGATAACCGGATTGGTTGATGGTGTGTAACCAAGTTCTGTGAACAAGGAAAATACCCACAGTAGCTCACTAGCCGTGTCAGCCAAGGCTTTATACTCTGCCTCTGTTGAAGATAAAGAAACAGAACGTTGCTTGCGAGAACTCCAAGAGATGGGTGTGTTGCCAAGGTACAACAAGTAACCTGTGGTTGAGACATAATCATTCTTGTCACCTGCCCAATCCGCATCCGAATAGGCATGAAAGGTCAGCGGGGCAGTCGCGGAGATGAAGACTCATTTGTCACAAGTGCCTGCCAAGTATCTAAACACTCTTTTGAATGCAGACCAATGTGTCGTTCGTGGGTTTTGCATGAACTGTGCAAGTTTGTTGGTGCTGAAGGCGATGTCTGGGCGTGTAAGACTCAAGTATTGAAGACTTCCAACGAGTGTTCTGTACTCAGTTGGGGAAGGCAAGAGATCACCTGAATCCTTGAGTAATGAAGCACTTGCAGACAGGGGAGTGGATGATGGTTTCGTATTTGCCATGCCTGATTTGTGTAGCAGATCAGTGACATATTTCCTTTGTGAAAGAAACATACTTGCATCAGACGGAATTACTTCAACACCCAAGAAATAGCTAAGACAGCCAAGGTCTTTCAGCGAAAAACGAGCAGCAAGTGTGGCAATTATTTTGGACAGCACTGCAGAGGAACTCCCAGTGACAATGATATCATCAACATATACCAATAAGTACACTGTCACTCCATGTTTGTGGTATATCCGTATATGAATAAAGATGCATCTGTTGTCGAATTGACGAAGCCAAGGGAGAGCAAGAATACTCGAAGCTCCGTATACCAGGAACGAGGTGCTTGTTTTAGTCCATAGAATGCCTTTTTAAGACGACATACATGATCAAGGAAGTTTTATTGACAAAACCCGGTGGTTGTATCATGAAGACTTCATTGTTAAGCGTCCCTTGAAGGAACGCATTGTTGACATCAAGCTGACGTATTGACCATCCTTGGCGAACAGCAAGTGTTAGGACAATACAAATGGTTATCGGTTTAACTACAGGGCTGAATGTTTCCGTGTAGTCCCAACCAGGGCGTTGATGAAACCCTTTGGCGAATAACTGAGCCTTGTAGCGATCAATTGATCCATCCGGATTCCGTTTGATGCGAAAAACCCATTTACAACCAACTAAATTTTGAGCAGAGGACCGACTAACAAAATCCCAAGCGTTGTTGTGGTGTAAGGCATCAAACTCAGCTTGCATGGCGGAGCGCCAATCAGGATCACAAAGAGCCTGAGTGATGGTGTTGGGTTCTATAGGAGCGGAAGGTTGGAGATGGAGATTGAGCTTTTTGACTGGTTTGACAATGTTGTTTTTAGACCGGGTGATGATCCCGCCGCCAATGGGTTGGGATGGTGGGGTAGGAGGAGGTGGTGGTGGTGGTGGTGGTGGTGGGATTGGAGGGGATTGAGTGGTGGTGGTGGTGGTGGGTTCGTTTGAGGTTGAGGTTTGAGCCATATCTAGAGAGTGAGTGGTAGATTGAGAGGAAGGGGCAGTGGGTAAATCTTCTTGTGAGTTTAGAGTGGTGCTCACCATAGGTTGGTTTGTAGAAGGTAAAATGGATAGTTGAAGTGGGCATGGTTGATGCTCTGTACTTGGATTGGATCGAGTGACTAGAGACCCGAACGGAAATTCAGATTCAACAAACTTCACATGGCGAGAAGTGTAAATCCTTCCTGTTAAGGGATCAAGACACAAGTACGCATATTGATCACCCGAGTAACCTATAAACACACACATAGCAGACTTTGGCGCAAGTTTATGGTTAGCATATGGTTTAATCCAGGGATAACATAAACATCCAAAACATTTTAACTTATGATAATTCGGGCTAATGTTAAGTAGTTTGGAGTAGGGTGATTGATACCCAAGAATTGGTGTTGGGAGACGATTTATTAGGTAGGCTGCGGTGGTCGTGGTGTAAGGCCAATAGGTGAGGGGCATACCTGAGTGGTGAAGAAGAGATAGGCCGGTTTCAGCAATGTGCCAATTCCGGCATTCTGAAATACCATTGTGTTCAGGAGTATGAGGTGGGGTGGTGTGATGACTTATACCATGAGTGCTCAGAAAAGGACGAAGACCAATATATTCACCACCATTATCTGTGTATAAGATTTTGATTTTGTGGTGGTAGAAATTTTCAACAAGTGATTTGAATTTGGGAAATATAGTTTGCACATCAGATTTGTGTTTCATTGGATAAAGCCAGATATAACGAGTAAAATGATCAACAAACATGCAATAGTAGCGAAGACCATCAATTGATAAATGGGAGAAGTCCATACATCCGAAAAAATTATTTCTAATGGATAAGAGGATTTAAGAGTGGATTCATGAAAAGGAAGTTTATGACTTTTGCTAATTTGGCATGAGTTACAATCAGATTGCTGGAATTTATTTGAACCTAAAAGAAAATGCTGCTGGAGAAATTTGAAAATAGAAGATGAAGGGTGGCCAAGCCGATGGTGCCATGATGCAGAGGAATCCTTACGAAGAGTGTGAACGGATGGTGAGATGGTAGGCCAAAGGTAAAGTCCATCCACACATGAGCCTTTATGGGTTGTTTGACCCGTCTGCAGATCCTTCACATAAAAAGAATTGGGCAGGAAAACAATAGCAGAGTTAGTTTGTTGGGTAAGTTTAGAGACAGAGAGGACTTTTTGTTTCATGGAAGGAACACACAGAATATTAGATAGGGATAAGTCATTAAGTAAAAGTGTTCCAGAGTGAGAGATGTTTAAACCTGAACCGTTACCCATAAACAGCGAGTCAGGACCAGTGTACGGATGATGTAGTGCCATATTTGCAAGGTCATTGGTGACGTGGTGTGTTGCTCCACTATCAACTAGAAAACCAGTCTGAGATGGACCAGCAGCTGCAGCATTGACATGAGCCTGGCCAGTGTGAGCTGAAGAAGAATCCAAAGATCATGTGAGGTCTTTGTCTGAGACACCAGGGAGGCAACTTCTTTAGAAAGAGTGGTGTGAAGGGCACCATAGATGAGGCGATCCTGTTGACGCCATGTCTGAAAAGCAGGATTGGGGGTAGTCACTTGAGGCGTTGCAGTGGGGGTGATTGAATCCGGCGGCGCGGGAAAGGATCCATCTGGATATTTGAGAAGGTCATAGCCATCAAGGAATGCTTCAACTTGAAGTTTCCAATTGAGATAATTTGTGGGAATAAGTTTGGTAACACTGCCAAGAGTGATACAGGTAAAGGGTTTGGATGGTTCATACGGGTTAGTCATGGTGAAAGTGCTATCACT